AAAAAAAAAAAAAGGAATAATGCTGATGCAGTGGTGCACGCCTATAATCGCAGGAAATTGGAGCCTGGCCCGGGCTACATAGCAACACAAGTCTTGGCTCGAAACAAGAACAAACAAAATTATGACTCAGAGCTGTGCATAGTGGTACACACATCTGTAACCCCAGCACTCTGAGAGGCTGAGGGAAGAGGCATGCAAGTTCAAGTCCAGCCTGGGCAACTTGGCAATTTAGCAAGATTCTGTCTCAAAAGTAAAGAAAGAGCCAGGCATGTAGTGCATCCTATCATCCCAGCACTTGGGAGGCTGAGGCAGGAAGATTGCCATTAGTTTGAGGCTGGCTTGGGCTATATAAGCGAGTTCAAGGCCAGCCGGCACTATATAGTGAGACCCTTTCAAACGAAGGAAGGAAGGAAGGAAGGAAAGAAGATAGATTTATTTTATTTTATTTTATTTTTTTTGGTGCCAGGAATTGAACTCAGGATCTTCTGCTTGCCAGGCAAGTGCTGGACCACTGAGCTATATCCTTGGCCCCAGGAAGAAATATTTTTTTAAAAGGCCTGCTAAGGAGGCTGGGAATTTAGCTCAGTGGCACAGCGCCTGCCTGGCAAGCGTGAGGTCATGAGTTTGATTCCCGGTACCAGGAAAAAAAAAACAAAAAAACTAAAAGGCCTGCTAATATAATTCAGTACAAAGGCCCTGGGTTCAATGCCCCACACTAGAAAAAAAAACATCTCTAAGGTGCTTCCTTGTCCCCTACGCTTCAGTCCTCTTTACTCCCCCACAAAAATACTCACTATTCTGAATTTGAACTTAATCACTCCTAGCTTTTCTGTATAAAGTTACTGCATTTTTGCAGCGCTGCCAACATGTTGTTTAATTTACATGGTTTTGCATTCTATACAAATATTATAATGTTTGTATTCCGTGGATTTGTTTGTGGGATGTAGATACATTGATACATGACACTCCAGTTAATTCCTTCCTTTCAGCATGAAAATAGACCACTATTTAATTACACATTCTTCTACAAATGGGTACTTGGTTGTTTCCAGTTTTTTTGCTGTTCAAAACAAGGGATGGCTGGGTGTGGTATCCAATACCTGTAATCCTAGCACTTGGGAGGCTGAGGCAGAAGGATCACTGTGAGTTCAGGGCTACCCTGGGCTATATAGTGACTTCAAAGCTAGCGTGAACTATATACCAAGACCCTGTCTCAAAAAACAAACAAAACCAAAGAGCCAGCTAGACATTGTGCCATACACCTGTGATCTCAGCCACTAGAAAGACTAAGGCAGGAGGATCATATGCTTGTAGCCAACATGGGCAACTTAACAAGATCCTCTCTCAAAATCTGGAAAAAAATGGGGAAGGGTCGGGGATATAGCTCAGTAGTCCCTAGATCAATCCCCAATACCATAAAAAAGAAAAAAGTAAAGAAAAAGACCCAATGAGACTATGAACTTTTTGTATGTTTCCATGAGCAAGATTTTCAACCAGGTGTGGTGCACAGCTGACACCTGTATCCCAGCACTCTGAGGAGCTGACCCAGGAGAATCCCATGTTGGAGCCCAGCCTGAGCACTGTAGCAACTTAGGAGACTCTGTCTCCAAATAAAAAATGAAAGAGGGCTGGGGATGTAACTCACTGTGAAGGCTCTGGGTTCAATCCCCAGTACTGGGGGGGGGGGATTTAGCCTAGAGGGAGAACAGTGAGGTAGTAAAGAATGTAAATCTTCACTTTTACTACAGGTGGCAAATCCACTTCCAAGTTAGTGGAGCCAATTGGTGCTCTATCTTTTGTGTGCAAGAGTTCCCACTTTCCTATATTCTTGCCTACACTTTAGACTATCAGATTTTTAAATGTTTGTTAATCTGTGGGTAAACACGTGTGTCTTACTTTTTCTTCTTTTAAAAATAAAAAACCATATATATGGTTTAGAACTACATATAAAAGGAAAAGGGCTCGGGTTTAATAATTAACAATGCATGGCCAACTTTTTGTTGGTGGTGCTGGGGACTGAACCCAGGACGGTTCACATTCGCAGGCAGCTGCGCTACCACTGTGCTACACCCCAGCCCTCCCCTGGCCAACCTTCTACCCCGTCCCTCACCCCCACCGCCTTTATGAAGAAAATCCAAGGCATTCTTTTTTCCTCAATATGTAAGTATGTACTTCTTACTTATTAGGTGTTTTTCAAAAGTATAAAAGGTATATTTTTAAAGAATAGTTTTATTTTTAATATAAAAATAAAAATATAAAATATTGGAACTATGACTTTGTAATCTGTGCTTTTTGTGACTTAGGAAGTTCATCCTTGCTGTATTTTCTCCTACCCTGACCTCGCCAAAAGGTTAGGCAGCCGTTGTTTTTTTTTCTATTTCTTTTCACATTTAGGGCTTTAACCCACCTGGATTTTTTGTTTGGGTTTGTTGTTGTTATTGTTCTTGGTTTCTAAATCAGAGACCCAGTTTTTTTCAATTGTCTCCCAGTCACTGGACTTCTTCCCCATGGATCGTGATTTCACCTTGTCACATGCTGTCACAGGTGGGGTCTGTTTCTCACCTCTTCATTCTCCTTTAGCTTTCCCTGCACGCCTTTTGTTTTTTGGTTGTTTTTTTTTTTTGTCTTTTTGAGACAGGGTCTCGCTATGTAGTTCAGGCTGGCCTTGAGCTCACTTTGTAGCCCAGGCTGGCCTTGAACTTGCAACCATCCTCCTGCCTCAGCCTCCCGAGTGCTGGGATTACAGGCATGTGCCACCAGGCCCGGCTTGCCTGCACGCCTTGAAACCTTGCAGCTCAGTTGTTCCCACTCTTTTTATCCATCTGAATCACTCTGACTGCTCTTATTCCTTTACTTTTCTTCATAATATATAGGTTATCAGGTTCCAGGAAAAAGTCTGTAATATTTTTAGTGGATTTAGGTTGCATTTTTAGATTTATTTAGAAAAAACAATTGTGATGATAGCACCTCCCCACGTGTAAAACTGGACATAAAAATGTGATGTGTAAAAATCCACATCTCCCCTGGGCCTGGTGGTGCATGCCTGTAATCCCAACACTGGGAAGGCTGAGGCAAGAGGATCCATGAGTTCAAGGCCAGCCTGGGCTACACAGTGAAGTGAAGTCAAGGCCAAGGCTAAGGCCAGCCTAAACTACATAGCAAGAGTCTGTCTCAAAAACCGAAACAAAACCATTTCATTGAGTTTTCCATAGCCACTTAATTTGCAAAACCAAACCAGACGATTAGTTCCATTTTTGCTATTCTGTGCTTCCTAGCACCCCCAGTGAAATGATGAAAGTGATAGTAAGCCGCTACCCTGGTCTCATTCCTTATTTTAAAGGAAATGCTTCAAATATATCCATTACATGTGCTTGTTGTGAATTTTGGGGTATATTTTTTTTTAACAGGTTAGAAGTTCTCTGTTGCTTCTAGTTGGCTCAGAGTGTCACTTACCTTCAATGTTTAGTTTGGTGTTTTGTCTTTTACGGTGAGGTCTTGCTATGTAGTTCAGGCTGGCCTCAAACTCACAGCAACCCTCCTGCCTCAATCTCCTGAGTGTTGAGATTACAGATGTTCACCACCAGGCCCGGCTGTATTTTTGTTTTGGAGGTACTGGGGATTGAGCCCAGGGCCTTCACACTGAGCTATATCCCTAGCCTTTTTTGAGACAAGGTCTTGCTAAGTTGCCCAGGCTGGGCTAGAACTTGGGATCTTTCTGCCTCAGGCTCCCAGAGCACTGGGATTACAGGTGTGTGCCACCATGCCCCCAACTCAGGCTCACTCTCTTTTATAGAAACCTGTTCTCACAGTAACTAAGAACTACATTAATCCACTGGGGGTGTAGCTCAGTGGCAGTGTTTGTGAGGCAAAAAGTTAGTCATTATTAACAGGCTGAACACAGGGGGCTGGGGGCTACTTGAAAAGCAAAGAAGGGGTGATTTTTCCCCCTTTGCTTTCTAATCATTAGCTATAGATACAGTCCACTCAAGCTTGTGGTTTCAAACTTCAGTTCGAGATTATGTAACATCTTCGGAGCTGCTGGTAAGGTCCGTGGCTATGCAAAGTCCAGAGGATGAGTGAGAGGTTAGAAAAATCTCAAGGTCTCCAGCTAAACAGAGACAGCCACCTAAGGAGTGACGGATCTACTTCTCTCTAAAGTAGGTAAACACAGCCCATTTTATTTGTGCAAGAACAATGACCTTGGAGGAAGGGAAAGACCGGGCTGACCTATGGACGTAATCTGAGAACCAGTGCAGCTGCCATTTTATGCTTGCCCACCTTTATGCTTCAGGTATATTTATTCTCTCTCAAAAATCTCTTATTTTGCAATTAACTCTACCTATACTCTATATACAATGGCCTAGGTGTCTTGTCTGAAATGTTTTGTCAGAGACACAAAGAATCAAGATGTGTTGCCAGTTCCTTGTGGTGTGGATATCTGGCTTCCTTGTAATAGTAGAGCATTTGCCTAACCGCCTCCCCCTGCACACCCTAAGTTCCATCTCCAGACCTGCAAAGAAAATAAATAAAAAGAAACAAGGAACAAAAGACACTAATCTCTTTCAAAGACAGTACTCGTTCCAGTAGGCTTCAGCTTGTAAAGACTGCACCACCTCAAAACTATCACACCAGGCACCAAGCTTCCAACACATAAACTTTTATTTTATTTATTTATTTTTTTGGTACTGGGAATTGAATTCACGACCTCATGCTTGCCAGAACACATGAGGGAACACAACTTTAGGGGATACAAACTGAGGCAGGAGATTAGGGCATGGCCAGCTGGCTGGACAAGTGGACATGACCTATCAATCACAATGATCCATAA